GCATAATTATTTTTCAGTCGATGAATTAAATCTTTACTATGCGAAAAAATTAGAAAAATATTATTTTGACCGAAAAAATCATATCTTTAATGATTAACTTAAATGTCCGAACATTGGAACGTTCGCCTTATCTGAAAATAGACAAAAATTTGGAAAAGAAATCACTGAAATTATTGAAGTTAGCATATCTTCGATTATTTATTTTCTATTGTTTGCGCGTGTAAGAGAATCGCGGAACGAAATTTAAGCTGCGGAACTTGAGAAGCTCTTCTCATCTCGTTAAAGATTAACTCGTCAATTATCTTCCATCTAAAAGAGGGAGGAGACTATAAGTACTTTCAAAAATTATTCACGATCGCATTTGCAGAGACTCGGCTCACGTCGCGTTTACGAATCGGGAATGACTTCGGCCATCGGCGCTTGCTCGTTTCGCGAATGCCGTTTGTATCGGCGCGGCGTCCGTCGGTTAATTTATGTAATCCGCAATTTGCGATTTTGCGCTCCGCGCCGCCTAACACGGTCGGACTGAGTGCACGCTCGGGCCGGATTAATGAGCCGCGGCGTTTATACGATATTCGCCGCGCGACGGGAATCTATGAATTATACGTCACGTTCAGAATCGCCTCGCCTTGTTAAAATAACCGCGCGCCTTCGTTGCGAAATTCCGCTTTGACTCTGATTATTATCGAGTTAGCGGAGTTTATCAAAAATAGATTTCGGCGAAACGCGAGCTATTCGTTCCAAGCGGCCAGTTTATTAACGCGATTTTACGTAATGCGATGAATTTTTGTCGATTTGTTCGTCGCAATTCTACGCGTAATTGCGACTCACGAGTGTAAACTGTCGTAAAGTCCGTTTTACGTTCTCGCGGCGAAAAAAAAAAAAAAAACAGCAGCGGACTCAGCTCGGCTGAGGTGTAAATAAACAATCGAGCGCGACTGTGGACTCTCTTTTTTTCCCCGAGAGGACAAAGGATAACAGCCAATTATTTGTAACAATAATTCAGTCGGCGAAAAAGTTCTGCGTTTGTTTTGCGAATATAATGTCGAGCGGATGGAACGCCGTTGTGTTTCGCCGACGGAATTTTCGCGCGACGGGAATAACGAGCAATTATTCCGCAAACGGGTGCGCGTCGCCGGGGTCTAATAGTAACGCGAATCTAATAGACGGTAATTTTTTCAGGCTAAAACGTGGACGGTAATTTCTTTTCGGATTAAAATGTGGGCGTGATATACGTTTGCGGTGCGCGATTGTTGAAACTAAAGCGAAATGTGATATAGTTTGATGGGTCTTTATATATATACATCCATTATTTCGACTAATTGTAGTACGAAATCTGAGATCTATGTGCAATATCAGAGATAATATTTCAAGACGAGAGGTAACATTCAGTTGAATTAATATTAAACATGATATTTTAAGAGCGAAATATAATACGCAAATGTGCACTTGTAAGAATGAGCCGAGAATCCATTATATAAATCGGAATTTATAAACTTGTCGCAAATTTAATTACTATTTAATTAACTCTCACGTCTGTCGCTGTTTGATTTAATTAATTTTCAATTCTGTTACTCCTTGTTTACTTTTTTGTTTTTTAAATTAAGTTTCGCTAATATTTTTATTTATTATTTTGAAGCTTATCTCGTTATGCCTATTCATTATGAATAGCCCATATGATTTATTAATTAATGTAGCAAACGCTTTCCGAATGCGCCAGGGTAACCGGCGATTATTTAACAAATGTGCCAGAATAAAATTCTCGTTAATTACGCGAGCCGATCGTGTTTCAAGCTATTAAGGACAGTCAGTGATCCCTGAACATTTTCAGAATGCGCCCCATATTGGAAATGCGGTTTAACAACCGAATATAATGCGCGATCCGATAACAGTACGCCATGCGCTCGAACGCAATAATAATTAAACGGTCATTTTTGCAAATTGCCCGCTGCAAATTATGATCGAGCGCCTCAATTGTTCCTATATATTCAGAAAAACTCATTTTCCGTTATCAAATGCTCTTTCCTATCCATATTGATTCATTCAATGTAAGAGCCGTTTATTTTCGAAGATATAATTTTAAAAATATTAAATATTAAGAAGACATTTAATTTGAAATATCAACGTTAATATTAAGTTACTCGGAAATTGCGAATTTAAAATTTAAAGAGTTTAAAATAATTTATATTTCTAAATCTTTAAATCTGAAGATTTAGAGTTCAAACATTAACGCAGATTCTAACGTTCCAATTTCTAAGATTTTATAGTTCAAGAATAAAGAAATCTATGATTTAAAAATTTAGTAATCGATTTACAATCTTTTCTTGTTAAGTTCATAAATTAAAATAAGAAATTTGTATGTCTAAACTTCTAATTTTAAGATTATTTATTTGTGATCTAAAGACGCAATGATTTACAGTTTATTAAATTTTTTAATTTGCATTAAAATATAAATATAAAGAACGTACAAATTTTATTAGAATTCGAATTTCAGATATGTAATTTTTTTTTCATCATTATTATAAGTTTTTCTCGTGCATCTTTTAGTTTAAAAACTTCAGTATTTCGAGATGTTTGCACTTCAGTTTGTTCCACAAAGCTTAAGACTCCTCTACCTTTTCCTGCTTTCCTGCCGTCTTTCGGTTTTCGCGTCACCGAAGTCTCGCGCGAGACTTCTGAACTTTCGGTGTCCTCGAATGTTTCGGTGCTTTTATTAGTTTTCGAAAGTTCGCTGTGTAACGGAATCCTCGTTAGAATCTGAACCAGTTCGAAATTATCCTGGCGAAAAGCGACAAGCGGTCGCGAGCACAAGTGGACGGGAAGGAAAGGAGAAGGGAAGTACTCTTTATTAAAAATTCTTATTCAAACTACGTCCGTAACAGAGATCGTAAAAGAAGTCCTGCCGATGCAGGAAGTGCTTTAATAAAGGAATTCTTAATGGCAATGGCTAGATTGCCGATCGTCATATCGTTCCCTTCGACGACTCGTCCTCGCGTTCGGCTTATTAAAAATCTTTTATTTACGACGTCACGATGGCGGGCGGATCGCGAAGATTGCTGTCTGTGAAAGTTTCATGAATATGATGGATCGAGAATTTCCTTCGTGCGAAGATGAAGAAAACTTGTCGTATAGTGTCCTTAGCAAGGACATATATTCTTAGTGAAAACTATTCTGCTGTCGGAATCAATCATTATAAAAAAACACAGCGTGCAAAAATTCAACGACGAATAATATAAATATTTAAGTAGACGCGTTAGAATCCAAGGGTTAAAAAAAATTTGAGGATCTAAGAATTTAAGATTTGAAACGCGAAGCACTGGCGACCTGAGGATCCAAAAGTCCGATTAAGATTTTTGTCAACAATTCAGAGTCCGAGGACCGGAAAAAAATGCAGTATTGCAATTCGACAAATTAATAATCCAAAGTGCAAAAATCCAAGATTCAAGGATCTGAAAGTCCGCGAATTCGAGATGCGAGATTTATTGTCCGACGTCCAAAGTTCGAGATTGTTCAGATTAATGATAGAGACCGTATCAGCTTAGAAATGTAGACTGCAATATTCAAGGATTCAATCGAGCAAGGATTTAAAAATGCGAGAAAGTCAAGTGCTCAGTCTGCAACAAGATAACGAGGAAAATCCTCGTTTACAGATCGAAGAATTATAGGATAAAAAAGATTCTTTCCGCGTGAAAGTGCATTTGGAAGGAGCGAGGATAGAGACTTCCGAGGATCCGAGTTCGCAGCCTGAGCTTCGCAGGACCCGCGCGCGATGTCTCTTTGATCCTCGCCAGCGAAACGAAACGAAAGTGGATTTGCGTAGTGCACTAGAGATTGAATTACGCGAAGAGGCTTTCTTTCCCTCTCGCGGGAATGCCGTCGAGTCCTTGATCCTTACCCGAAGGACGAGAAAAAGGCTTGCTCTCGTAACAGGATCGTTCAACGCGGAGCGAGCTTGGGAAAAGAATTAGAGATCGCACTGAAAATGTAATCCTCGCGAAAATTGGAGACGCAAATCGAGAAAAGTTATTCAGAATTACTTGCTGCAAAGCGAAATAGGAATTGCTGTGATGGCAATAATAATTGTACAATGATACAATTATCTTGAGAGTATTCTTAGATTCTCTTTTACAGATATTTATTAGATATTTCTTTATATTATATATTTTATATATACAATTTATTATTATATATGCCATATCAGTATGCAGAAATTATTATTCTATGCTAATAATTATTGTATTACATTATACGGTAATTATACTATTCCCATTCCTAATAAATATTTCACGTCACGGTCATACTGTTACCGGTATGACGATATTACTAATGCAATGGTATTAACGGGCGGGCGACCGCGGTAACAACGATAAATTAACAGAGTTATTGCGACGGCAATATAGTCCCGGACGATTTATTTTCGCCAACGGTTCAATGCTCCTGATTCCTCCTCCTTTCGAGTGTTTGTCGAGTGAGGTGCGCGCCCGCTCGTTTCTTCCTCGACTTTTATCTTTACGGCGGAACGAATGCTCTCAAGAACAACCATCGATATTCCCGTCCCGGAAATATCGAGCTCGCTCTTGAGCGCGACGTGCTTCAAGACGATCGGCGGCCACCCCCGCGTGATAATTTATCGTTCCGCGAGAAATATCTCCTGTCGCTTCTTTTTTTTTTTCTTCATCATTTTCGAAATCTTCACCCGACAAAGTCGCTTCTTATTTTCTACATCAAAATATTGCAAAAAGGGAAAATAAAAAATATGATTTTTAATATCAAGAAACATTGTTTTTTTTTATATTAAATTATATTTTTATATTTGTTTATAATTATCTTTATATTTGTTTTCGCAGATACATTTTAATTGATCGGGGTACATTTTTTATTTATATGCGTTTTCGGGTTTTTATCGTTTTTCTTAATGTTCTTCTTAACATTTTTCTTGAGAATAACGCAGAAAACCCCATTTAAGCATTTCTAATATATTTACGTCGCTTCTGTTGCAGGTACAAGGATAACAGGGCTTACCCCTGGCCGGGCGGAGAGAGCAATTTTATCCTGTATCCCGAGAGCGCGAATCAAACGATCTACACACAGGAGATGAGAGCCTCGGATGCGGGACGATACTCCTGTCAAGCGCGTAACGACACAACCACTCTGGAGGGTGACATCACTCTCGCTGTGATCGGTAAGTACCGATATTCCCGGATAAAGTTGATGGGATTCATCCATCAGCGTATATTAAAAGCACGGAAGATGCCCCGCCGTGTCTCCGATGTTTAATAAAAGAATGTCTCGTGTAACGATGATGCACGGTAATGGCGAGTAATAATAATAATAACGTCGCGATGAGAAGTCTCTCTCTTATTTATGAGCATGATCGGAATATTCTAATGTATACAAAAGTATCCTCTTACCACCGCGTGATTTACACAATTTAATGAAACACAATATGCAACTCGGTATTTTGATTAAAAATAGAGTACATTTGTTCAAGACAATTTCTTCCTCCAACAATTTTTTTTTTTATTATTTTGCGAAGCGTAAAGTTTTTTTTATTGAACTCAATTTGATTTGTATGATAAAAATTTTTATATCAAACCGTCACGAAGTCTTCGTATTGTTTATCTAAAAAATCTGCGCGCTTTATTAAGTTTCGCGGAGCCTCAAAAGATATTTTCGATAACACGACTATCTCTGAAAGAAGTAATCAAAATTTTTTTAAACGTTTGCGATAACCGGAAACAGAGAAAAAAGAAACTTGTCAATCAAAAAGCTACGTGTGTTCGATTTGATCCGCTTGCTATCGCTGCACTGGAAATAAAAGCACGAAACTCGAATGATTTCACGAAAGGTCCGCCTTTGAAACTTCCATTCAAAATAAAAGGTAGGCTTTTAAGGGGGGGGGGGATGTTCGATCGGGAACGAATTGTCGCAAAAAGCGACAAAACGTCAATCGCCATAGCTGACAAAACGATATTCGTTTCCGATATCTCTGTCGGAGATTCGTCATGATACTGTCACGCGTCGAGAATATCCGGTACAACGTAATACCAATTCGGGAAGCAAGATTCCTTCTATCCTTATCAGATTTTTCAGTATACAAATGTTTTTATCGCTCTCGACAATATTTTATTAAAAAACTATTTTATACCGTGAAAAATATTTTCAGAGGGTTAACAATTACACATTTCATTTTTAATATACGTAAGTAATCAATATACATAAGCAATATTTATTCAATTAACCGGTTTTGCTCCATTTTTCTGTTCTTTAAGTCTATTTTCGTTGAATGTATGCAAAATATATATAACATGCAGCGAGCGACAGTATTTCTTAGGATAATAAGCTAGATAAAAGATAACATGAGCCAGAAATAAGATACAGAAGAGTGGGTTTTCAAACACGATAGCTTCTTCGCGTCGCGAAAAATATCGTCGCTCCTCTTATCGGCACGGAGGGCCGATAGAACTCCTCGCGAATATCGTCTTCGCGGATGCGTTCATCCGCTCGCCGTGTGAAAGAACAGAGCCAATGGTGTATCTCAAATGTCCGTTGCGAGCGTATCGACCCGGAATTTCAATTAAAGCTACGCTGCTGCGCTGTCGGATCTGATCAGTTCCAGAGCAGTCAGCCGTTTTTCCGACTGATGCCGAGCTTTCGGTCCCGCTGGATGGGAAAAAAGCGGGACGGAAAGCGCTTGTTGTAGTGTTGCGCGATTCACCTCGATGGATTTTTATGACATCGGACCGACGTTTCCCAACCGGAGACGTGAATCGTATTCCTGGCCGGCCGTCATCAAATTTTCGAAACCCGATAGAAAAATTGGAAAATCGGGAATCGTTCGCCATATAGGCTGTCCCCAAAATAATCGAATATTATTTAAAATTTTTTTATGAATATAAGACCATTTTCTTAGCAAAAATATCAAGAAAATATTTAGTTGAACGGTTGAAGAAAATGGACTTTTGGTAAACTAAATTTCTAATTTTAGCTGATTGTATAATAAATTTATTGAACTTAATTAACTGATATTGTAAAGCTTATCATTCAGTATTTCTTAGTCTCGCTTGTTCAATGTTTCCGTATTTATGTATTTTTAAATGCTATAAATTACGTGATATAAAAATATAAATGTTGCATCAATCTAAGCAATGATACATTTTTTATTAAATATAAAAAACAAATATTCATTATCGACATATTTTTCATGACGAAAATAAATCAATTTTGTGTCAATAGTGTAAATATAAATTTCATTTTTTGTAGTGATACGTAGATTTATCTGATCTATTTGCATTATTACGTCTTCAACAATACGTACGTAAAAATATATTTGTGTAAAGGATGATAAATGCGAAATCGCTCTAGTTTTGTCGCTTCCGTAAAACAAGGAAAATGAAATTCTGCCGAGCAACGTAATCACGGGAAATCGTTATGGTAGCGTATTGAGATTCAGTCGGGCCTCGTCGTTTCGGAAAATTCGTCGGGGCGCCTTTTCCGGCGATGAGGGCAAATCGTCGAGTTAATATTCATCGGAGGAGCGACCGCGCTTCCGATCGCCTACTCTCCTCTAAAACCCTCGATTTAGCGCGCATTCGTGCACTGCCGCCGTTCTACCTTGCCCATCGATATAACCAACTTCCAGTTCGCTTAGCAATTCGCCGAAAGTCGTCCCGGAGAATTCCGACTCGGTAACGTTTAACCTTATCCGCACACGTTAAACGCCTCTTCTCGCCGCAATTAATCCTTTATCTTCTCGCTTTATCCGGTTGTGAAATAAATGTCTGTCGTGGTTGAAAATTTAAATGAAAAATAATTTCATAAGAATCAGCTGCTTGCTAAATTGAAAAAAAAAACTTTAAGCATTTAGCATTAAAATATTTTCTTTATTATAATAGAAACGCGTTAATCAGTGTATTAATTACTTGGTGTCTTTCAATGATCTTTGATAAAATAGGGAGAAATTGGAAATAAAAATGAAAAGAAAACCGTAATAATAAATAATATTTATTATAATAAGTTATAATAAATAATAAGTTGTATATAAATAAATATAAATAAATATATAATATAAATATAAATATATATAATAATATAAATATAAATATAATATAAATATAATATAAATAAATATAAATAAATATATAATATAAATTGTATAAAATGTGAGTTTTCTTTCGAGCATCACAAGAGACACATAGGATAAGCGATTCATTACTGTAGCTTTAAATCCGCAACTATTGGAATCTTCGCTTTAATTAGCTTATCGTATAAGTTCCCGCTTGGCACAGTTGTCCGATTTCAGCTGATGTTTCAGCTGAAGATTCTCTAAATTGCTGATTTTCACACGAGGAAATCCGGGAGTTGGATTTTGCTGTGAGTTACTCGATTGCTCCACGCGATAAGACTTCCGAGATAAGATGCGAAAGGTTTCGCGTTAATCGCACCGAACTAGATACTGCATTAGCATTTTTCTCAATGCGCAATTTATTGAAAGACAGTTTTCTCACGTTGCGACGTCTTCTAAGTGGCGTTCGATCTCGTCGCTGTCTGTTGTCTTTAGTCCGGCGTTAGCAGTTGTGTCAATATGCACGCTTTTCGGCGCGCGAATTAGACAGTATTTATTCTTGCCCGAAAGTATCTCGGTTTTTCTGTAATTCCGTTTGTCGAGTCTCTTTCGCTCTTTCTCTCGCTTTTCTTTATTTATTTTTTTTTCTCGCGCGTAGCTTTGGACGAAGTGTGATGCGTGTCGCGTGAAATGTCTGAACTTCGGAACTAATCTTTGGGATTTAGGAAAAACTGTACCTCAAAAGAGTATAGTCATTTTTTTGCTAAAGTCTACACCAGTTCACTGTTCCTTGGAAAAGAACGATTGTGTTTTGCACAAATACATATGTATAGTATTTTCCGGCAAGAGAAAAATTTACAAAATCTTCGCGGTAAGAAGCAAGGTGTTTTTTCTCACCAAACAAAGAGTGATTTCCTCTCCGACGAGAAAGGGATATTTTCCAGTAAAAACAAACAAATCAATTTCTGAGTGAAAAATTGTAATTAATTTACGTGTATGTTACACGTGATTTTTATAATTTTTATAATTTTGTAAGTTATATTTTTATAAAATTAAAGATAATATCATACGCAAACACACGCGGAGCGGAGTAATCGAGGATGCATCGAATTTTATCGAGCAAAAACTTAATTGAATAACGAATATTAAAAAATATTTTTTAGTTATTGCAATTTATTCTGCGTATTTATATTCAATAAATTAAATCATGAAAGATCGACTCTAAATTCACAATTCGATATCAAAACATCTTTGATGCAGTTTGCATATTTATTTGTATTTACATGTTGCATAACTCACAGTCAGTGAATGACATTTTTATCGAATTAAACAAAAATGGTTTTTAAATCTAGAGGCTAAATTAGAGGCTAAAAAGGAATTTAACGCGAAAACATTTTTGCTGTATTTTGCTGAGGGGAAAGATGCATTTTACATATTTACTTGCATTTACATGTTGCATAACTCACAATTAGTGAATCACATTTTTATCAAATTGAAAGAAAAGCAGTTTTTCAATTTAAAGTTCTCAAACGTTAAAAAGAATTCAGCGTGAAAATATTTTGCTGTATTTCTGAGGGGGGGAGCCGAGGGGAAATATCACACGAGCGAGTGTGATAATCGAGAGTGCTTCGTGGACACTTCTCGTGGCGTTAGCTGCCGGGGGGCAGATTAATGAATAAATTCCTTACACGGTCAGAGCGCGAGCGCGCGTCGAGAAAGCAATGGTCAGTACGGCCGCTTCGCGGAAAATTGCGAGCCGGGAAAATTGGCACGATCTGATCTCTTTGTCTGTCTCCCTCTCTCCCTCTCTCTCTCGCTCTCACGACGTCTGATGAGGTGCGTAGGTAGATGATTCCGCGAACCGCCAATCGAATCTCGTTCGTGGAACGTGCGCTCGCCGCGAGATGCATCGCTCTGTGTCTAGTCACCGATGATACGTCAAAGTATGCTGCACTCTAGCCTTCGCGAGAACTATCTTTGAATTATCCTCCTGGAAGTCTGCGCAGAGACTCGACGATCTTCATAATTCTGGATTCTTGTTAAAACATGAAGAAAGGAAATCCTTTAATGAGAAAATATTTGAAGGCTTTTGAAAAAATTATAAAACAATACAATTT